ATTCCGGTTACGACGGCCACGGGACCACAACCCGTTACCATGGTCTCAGCGTTTCCGGGTGCCCCGCTCCTCCCCTCCCTTCGCACGACCGCAGCGCCACCTGGCTCTCCCCCCTCTGGGATGCCCCGCGCCGCTTGTGCATCCACTTCCTCCACTCTTCCCCCTGCTACCCCTCGCACGACCTACGTTCGAGGTCTCGAGGACGAGATTGCCCAGCTCCGGGCCAACCTCGCCCTCTTACACCTTCAACCACCCCCACACTCACAGGTGGCCGCGCCTTCGGGCGCACCCCCTACCTCCTCTACCCTTCCTCCCATGCTGGCTCGCTTTCCACGCCCTGCACCCTATACAACTCCTTCCTATCTTCTTCCTACTCCCGCGGTTGCTGCGACCTCTTCTACCGCAGCACCCTCGCAGCCTGCCGCTGTTGCCACCGCCGCTCCCTTATGCGGCCCGGGCGCACAGTCAGCTGCGCCCCTTTCTCCAGGACCTGCGCCGACTTACTCAGCCGTATCACAAGCCCCCGCTCCTCGATCCCCTCGCCGCCACTACGGTGGCACACCACTCATCCGCTTGTCGGACATTGCCTTGTATGACGGTACAGGCATACGCGTGTCTCGGTGGCTGCAGTCGGCCACCCGCACACTCCGGCTCATGGGCGCCACACCCGAGACGTGGGTGGGTCACCTCTCAACGCGCCTGCGTGGCGGTCCTTTCGAGGCCTAGGAGGATTTCTATGCCTACTCCCTTCGTGAGGGTCGGACTCCGACCTTCGTGGATTTCCAGGCGTTCCTCGAGGATCGCTTCGGAGCCCGATACGACGTGACTGACGCCTTCAAGCGTGTCGTCATTACACGCTGGTCCGGCTCAGGTGGCGCTGCCGGCCTGGATCGCCACATCCAGATCTTTCAAGACGCCCGCCTCGTTTGCGACGTGGCATTCCTCCCTGAGGCTGCCCTTATCGATCGTTTCTTGGCCAGCCTTCCGCTCGAGTACCGCTCCGAGCTATGGCGGTACGAGTTCACATCGGCCCCACAGGCTTACGAGGCCGCCAGGGACCACCAGTGGATGCGAGCTCGTCTTCACCCCGCCTCCTCCTCCTAGCCCCAGCGCACGGGCTACTCCTCCTCCTCCTCTCACGGCACTTCCCAGCGCCGTTCCCCTTTCCGCGGTCGCCCCCGCCGTTCCACGCAGCAGGGCCGCCACTTCTCGCGCCGTTCAGCGCGCTGGAGTATGGTGAGCAGGACGCTGTTGCCCCACTGTCATCTGAGGGCGACCACAGCGACGACCTCAATCTCTGCGAGGCCGTCCACTATCACTTGGAGGACTCTACCCTCCCTGCAGCTGAGCGCCTTCAGCTCGCGCTCTCAGCCCTCTCTCGGGCACGCAGCCGCCCCGGCCACGCTGGCACATCGCCCCCCGAGGTCCCTCAGGAGGACCTCCCTCACGGCTTCGTCCCTCCTCGTGGTGTCCTTTCCCCTGAGGAGCGCGCGGCTATTCTGGGCCGGCGTGGGTGTTTGCGCTGCCGCTTGGACGGTCATACCTCCTCGCGGTGCCCTTACACTACCGCCCTCGACCGCCACTACGCTGACCTTTCTCGTCAGCGTCGTGCTCAGTCCCCCCCCGGCGCCTCACGTCCCCGCGGCGCCTCCTAGCCACGGTGCAGTGTACACYTGCGCCCTCCTCARWAGTGGGCTTYCCGACATCTCCGTCGCGGTTCGCCCCTCTCGCTACTGGAGTTGAGGTATCGCAGGACTCGACAGAGTGTACTCCGCCCTCTATCGCAGTACCGTCTGCGCCTCCGCAGACCACCGTCTCTCCTCCTTCCCCGCCGCGACTACCGACTCGTCGAGCCATTCGCTCAGCCCGTTGCAGCGAGCAGCTTGCTACTCGCAAGGACGTTGTATCCTCTCTTCTGGACTTGAGCATGCTCCAGGCTCGTCAGGAGCGACTCACCCTCCATGTCGCTGCACTGCGTCGCCTTCTCGCCATCCTCTCTGACCCTGATCGCACCCTCCCGATCATCCCCGTACGACTCAGGACCTCCACGAGGGTGTACTCAGCGCTGTGGGATTCCGGTTCTCAGGGCGACTTCATTCACCCACGCGTGGTGAAGGAAGCCCGCTTACCCACGACAGGGTCTCCGACTCCCACCTCCGTTACCCTAGGGGATGACAAGACCCAGCGCTTCTTCGATCAGACGGTCACCGACCTCCCCTTCTTCCTCACTCTCGAGCCTACTGAGCGTTCCCCGGCTTCTCGTCGCCACCGCTCCTTTGCACATTTCGATGTGATGGAGACGGGGTACGACTTCATTCTCGGCACTCCGTGGTCTCGTCGGTTCCGCAGCAACGAGGCCGGTTTGGCGACCAACACTCTCGTTCTCAAAACGAAGTGTGGACAGACGTATCGCGTACCTTTCATAGGTACCACGGCGACACCACACCCCGATCCTCCTCCCCTGAAGCCTTCAGTGCCCACACCATCTCCCTCTATCACTGTCACCTCGCCTCGGCAGTTCGCTCACTTCATTCGACAGGACGACGTCACCTTCTTTATGGTGGACGTGACGGATCTCTTACACTATGATCCACCCTGTCCCGACGTCGAGCTCATCCCTCTGGAGCCAGATCCTCCCTCTATCTCCATGGCTCCCATCTYTACTTCCGTCCCTCCGCCGTCCGTCGAGTCCACCCCGCCGTTGCGCGCTGACGCTGACGCTGAGGAACTCGCACGATATACGGCTGACTTGGAGCCCGCAGTTCGTGACCTCATCCACGAGTACCATGACGTTTTCCCATCGTCGTTCTCGTACGCCGGCATCCCACCGATGCACAACGTCGAGCACTCCATTCAACTCGTACCTGACTATCGTGTTCACCACCAGGCACTCTACAGACTCTCGATCCCCGAGGCCACCGAACTCAAGCATCAGCTTGAGGAGCTCCTGAGACTGGGTTTCATTAAACCCAGCAACTCCCCGTGAGGTGCACCCGTCCTCTTTGCTCGCAAAGCGGATGGAACTCTTCGTCTCTGCATCGACTACCGCGGCCTCAACCGCTACACGGTTAAGAACAACTACCCCATGCCTCGTTCCAATGAGCTGTTCGACCGCCTAGCAGGCAACCACTTCTTTACGAAGATTGATCTTCGTAGCGGTTACCATCAGATCCGCGTCGCTGCAGCCGACCAGCCGAAGACCGCGTTCCGATCGCGATTCGGCCACTACGAGTTCACGGTGATGCCGTTCGGCCTCACCGACGCACCCGCTACCTTCCAGAGGGCGATGAACGACATCTTCAGGGACATCCTGGAGCAGTACGTTCTCGTCTTCCTCGACGATATCCTGGTCTATAGTCGTACCCTTGAG